CATCCAGAAACTTTAGAAGGTAGAGGGAACTCTGTTGGTTATTTACTGCTTCAGTGATTAAAATTTAAAATAAATAAATTCAAGCAGTAAACAATGGTGCAGATGTACTTTAAATGAGAAGATCTATTTATAACTAGCCGTCGGTACCTGTTACACGGGAATTATAGGTCTCTATATTTTAATGTTATACTTGTTTGAGATAAATATTTTATAAAAAAGTTATTTGTCAAAATGCTATCCGCTTTACTACACATTGAACGATATTACTGACAAAGCAAATAGCTAAAAAATCTGACACATTTAAAATAACAAATTATATACATTATTAGTCAACATAACACCATATCAAATGCACACGCTGTTAAGAGACTTAAATGATATACTTAAAAACCTGGCTGTTCAATGGTAGTTATGTTGTTTTTGGCGTTTAAAAACACCTATTTTGGCTGAGCATGGGTCTGACCACAGTATCCCTTTATATGCTTAGAAGACAGTAACAGGTGAACTGCACTTCACCTGCCCCATGTCCCGCCAAGTCCCGATAGGCAACTTTATCATTCCCATCTAAAACTATTGGTAACTATTACACTATCATCTCAGCTATTTCGGCACTTCAACTTATGTGCGGAATAAGATGGTTACTTAACGTAGATTTAGACTGAGTCAGCATAAGAAACTTTACGCAAATAGGCCCTATTATTTCAAATGAATTTTTTATCCCAAATTAGCCAATTCCATAGATAAACAAACAAAGATTTATACAAAATAATTAAGGCCTGAAATAGTTTAGTGCAAAAACTCATTATTGGCACAAAATCTTGATCTATATGGAGATGGAACTAATTCTAGAATCTACGGCTGGCTTAAGTCTAGTTTTTCCGTAGCTCTAGAATCTAAATAGATAAAGTAAATTTTATAAGTTTAGGCCGAGAAAATTGTATACATTTCATAGCGTTTAATAAGTAGATCTAAATCAAATTGGAATGAAATAGTTCATTTCTTTATATTCTAAAATTGGAAGATGACGCCATTAGTTTTGCGTTCTTTCCCCCAGTATAACCTTGTGACATGTGACACAGTGGCGTAGCTATCATAAAGCTAGCGTAAGCAAGGCATAGGGGCCCAAGCCATTTAGGGGCCCCTTTCCATCTTAAAAAAAAAAACTTTTTACGTTGGAATTTTAATATTTGTTTTATACAAATAATTTTTAAAATAAAATTAAAATTCAGTTTCTTTTCTATTGTAGAAATAATTAAAAGTTCCAAATAGGCCCCCAGTCATTTCAAACTTTACAAGTAGTGGGATTCAGTGGGGGGGGGGGGGGTCGAATAGGGCAATCCATAATAATATCACTATATCTTTACCTTAATGAACTTTCAATTTTTTATCAAATTAATCTGTAACAATATGGCGCTACTAACACTATAAATTTTTGGTTTTCATCCAATCGCCAAGAAACTTTGGGAAATCGTTGAGAATACTCCAAAGGAAGTGTTTTTTTCCCCTGACATTTTTCCTCAAAAGGTGCATGAAAGATACTCTGGCTTTTGGGAAGGTTTCTGCCATTAAATTTTTATTTTATTTCGGAGGGTGGTGCCCAGGCAGTAAGGCGGTGCAGTTTGCCACCCAGAGTTTCCCAGCGGCTATCTTTGCACCTGGGGTCCCATTGATTGGGTGTCTGGCGCAGTGCGTCAGCGCTACTACTTAATACAGCGTTCAAATTGCAGGGGCGCATCAGCCGGCACCCGGCGTTCATGTAACCCGGTGCACCCTGGTCTCCCCAATGAGCACTACGGCGCCATATTCGTGTTAATGAGCGCTATATACTAGGGATAATTCGGGATACTAAAATCGATTACTAAATCGAATAATGGGTGTCCTCCAGCACATCAAACAGTAGTAACAGTTACCCTGCGGCTACCTGAGTGCACGAGATCCGTTGATTGGGTGACTTGCAGAGTCAGGGGTACTACTTGATTCAACAGTTAAACTGCAACAGGGGCGGCTTTTGAACCCTCGGCGTACAGATGACACCAATCACACAAGTGTTCTAAATTAGGGACAGAGGTTGCTTCTGGCTGCTTACGGTAGTGTAAACAGTCACTCCCGCTACGCCACTGACACCTATTACGGAAAATAATTAACATACACTCAATGCTTTCATACAGCACGCCCAAGGGTGTTTGAGCGGTAGTGTGGACCAACCCGTGCCACCACCAGAAAGATCCGGAAAAAATAGCAGTTGCGTTGTTTACATTTTAACTAAACCTATCTCAGTATTAGAAAACAAGGTCACACGACTAACCATCTCTCACTAATCTGGAAACAACTTAGTTTTGACAAAAAATTTTACAATGTCTTGTTATGGTGTCACGCCTAAATGTTGTCATTCGATGCGGACCGCACCTCTGCCCCCGCTTTATAACGCTACTGTGTTTGTTTACTTAAAAAAAACAATTAACTGTAAGCCTGTAACATTTTTACAAAACCACATACTAATATAGTATAAATACACAATCAGGACATATAAAATATAAAATGTACAGAATATTTATATTTTTTATGTCCTCCATCATAAGTATCAGTTGATTTTTTAGTTTAACTCTATTGTAGCTTAAAAGCTGACGAAGGGGGCCATCTGATAATTTTTGCATAGGGGCCCAAAAATCCTAGCTACGCCACTGATGTGACATTTTTTTTTTGCATAACATGGCTATTTTTTCAATTCAATAGAAATTTACAATTACAAATACACTTTATTAATTAAAATGTTACAATTCACACAAACGAATATTTGACTGAATAAGTGAATACAAATTGCTTTTATCAAGATAAGTTACTAAGGTGAATAGCACATGCAAATGTCAGTTGCTTCAGAACTTACATTCATTCATACTCAGTTACATGTTGACCATTAAAATGCAACCAGAAAATTGAACATGGCAAAATGCTCAAATAGAAAATTTGGCTCTGATTTTTCAGTTTCAGTAATTTTTCATTGTGCTTTTTTCTGGGAAACCAGTTATATAAATCTACTCAAACAAAAAGACATAAAATAATATAATCTACCTATATAATTTATAATTGCCTAACTTACTCTGTCATGTAATGTACACAACTCAAAAAATATTTACTATTTAGAAAGGCTCCCAGTTTACAAGGTTAATCATAATGGTATCATTTCAATTAATTTTTAGTTCATTTTCCAAATTGTTTCCATTAACTTTTAATTTTAACAACAAACTTAGACAAGGGAATATCTAACAAAAGATAATTTTTAAAAAATTTGCCTAATATCTGTAAGGCTTTGCAGTTAGTGTTATTATATTACATGCAAGATGCTGTAACACAATTTTCACAGGTATTCTATTAACTTAATTTACACTGACTGGGATTCTTATTTTTATGGATTTTTACAGGCAAAACCATACAAGCAACCTCTAAAAGAAAAGAAAAGCTGAAAAATATGCATCACTTACTCGCTCTCCAAATCAGCAACTGTGCATTTGTACTGTGCAGTGGAAAACAAGCAAATATCTGCAAACTGTCGAACTGTGCATAAACATGAGGAGACAAAAATAGATAGATACCTTACGTTCACTAAAACATCTATAAACATCAAAACATTACACATGAAATAAGTGTACCATAAACTTATATCCAAAGTAATATCATTTACTTATTATATATATAATATATATTATATTTTAAAAAGTATTATAAAAATGTTTGAAAGAGGTGTATAGCACAAGTTATTTCTTAAGTGTATGACTGGATTTACAATTACAAAAAATGGTACGTTTATGACTTTAACAAAAAAGGCTTTATGTAGGAAACCAGAAGACTGTTTTCTTTCACTTGACAGTGGGCTATAATTTCAAAATTGAAACATTGGCATAAGTGTGGATTGATCAAAAGGATAAATTTTCTCTTTTTAAAAAAAGAAACACAATTTTGCTCAGGAAAATTGTGTTAACACTAAAATATTGAAATAAAATGACAAAAATAAAATCTCAAAATATGGAAGTTTTTCAATAAAGATACTTTGTAACAAAGTTAGCACAAAACAAATACTTAGTAAGTGAAAAATGATAACAAAATATCATTGTGAAGAGCAAAAGTGTTTGAGAAAAGTTTAGTGAGAAGCTCATCAACATTATCTACCAGAAAGGACCATATACATTGTAGACAAAGGAACTTGAATCACTACTTTAAAATTACGGATCAGCTAAGTGTAAAAATTACTGAATGGTATTAACATTTAATTAATACACAATGAATTTAAAGAATAAAACAACTCCAACTGAAAGCTATTTTGTGGGATTTTAGACGCAGTGCTTAGAGTGTCTACCCAGATACAAAACGAACAAACCGAACTGATTTTGTAATTTTTACAATTTTAATTATTAATGAAGGATATATTTCTAATTTTAAAGATAGACAACAGTTAAATTGGTGATGCAGATATTGGAAAATATATTATTAGTTTTTTATGTAAACTGTTCTGAACTGATATTTCTTAAAAGACTAAGTTATTTTATTTGTATTAAATGGAAAGCAACTAACATGCTGCTTGAACAAATAGTAATTATGATACAAAAATATTCACCATATAACATTGGTGATACACATAATACTCATTATAATGCAATATTTAACTAAAACAATAATTTCTCAGTCTTGATTGAAAGAGTCACAACTAGATACATGATTCAATTTTCACAGATAACATCCTACTGACTGGCCTTAAACTCACGCAAATTCTTGTTCTACCACCAAAATTGAGTTGTAACTTTTGTCATATAATGCCAGTTCACATTCCTGATGTACTATAAATTATAGGAATTAAAATATGATAGATTTAAATTTTCTGACTATTAAAAAAGGTTTTACTGTTATGCAAGTAATCATATAAAGTATATCTACTTTTGCAGACAAAAATAAATTCAACTTTGATGATAAAAAGATGATTACAACAGATTATTTGATGCCATCAACAAAAACGTTGTGAACTATCAAACTTAAAAATAAAATAAAGCTTTAATCAAATATACTTTTACTGCTTTATTCTAAGTAAAAATATAAAATGTATATTTTCAAATGTATTAATTTAAGTACATAGTAGTTACATTTGAGCCATTCCAAAAAAATTAGAGAAGATGAGATAGATAGGACAAAGAGTTATTTAAATGTTAATACTTTTAGTTAATAAATTACCTGAGATTTTTATCTTTTTCACAGTTTTGTTTGTATTGTTGTCAACAAGTACATTGATGGCAATACTTTCACCATGGTAATATTTCTGGAGAAAAATAAGCTGTTTAAATTTCAAACACAATCATGAAAGATATCTACATTTACATAAAGTCTTAAAAGAGAGACAATAATGTGATTTTTTTTTAAATCCTTGGTTTTTAATTCATTTTGTATATAAAGAAAATTTAAGCTTTAATTATTTTTTAAAGTGTAATTTGAATTGTTTTTATTACTATAGAATAAAAAAGTTCTATTGTTTAGATTAAAATAATCAGTATTTAACAAACAGCATGAGAAAATCTTTTCCTTCACCAACTTAAGGTAGTCTCACTTGAACTCAATTAGACAAAAGTTACTCACGAAGTAAAAGGAAAAAAAATATAAATTTATATAAATAAATAGTTATTAGAAAAAACATCTAAAAGTTTAGGAAGTTCTTCTTCGTTCTTAATTTTAGAGTTAGAAGGGATTCCCTTTAAAAAAATTAAATATACAATTTCAGCATGCTTTTCTTTTTTGATTTGCTTCCATAGCTTTTCCAACCAAGAACAAACTACAAGGCAGCAGTTGCTTGATTTTGGAGTTTCTATCCTAGAAGAGTTGCTGTCCCCAGCTATCGAGCCTCATCTACCCAAGGGCTCAAACTCGAGACGTTTTTGATTTAGCAATCATGAGCTTTACCGACTCGACTACGCAGACCTCTTAGGAAGTATATGAAACAAGATATATTAAAAGAAGGTAAAAGCATCTTTGCGCTTCTTTATTAACAATTTATCACAAAACTTTTGTAGTGGGTAGTCATGTAGACTAGACTTTCTATGAAATCTGCTATGCTTTGTTTGAATTTCATTACAAAATTGAGGTTTTGCAATTTTCACTTACTTTTTTAATACAGATTTTAGTAAATTCGATACTTACTTCCTTGTCAAGAGAAGCCTCTAATCGAATGCTACCAGGACTCATAATAAAATCTTTGACAGCCTCAGCATTAGGCTGAGGAGCTGGCTCTTCTGGTGCATAAGTCAATTTACGTATTGCTAGACGAACTGAATTCCTAAATCGTAACAGATAAATTCGTATTTCAATTTGATGTTTGATCTAAGTAATTCTACAAATAAAATCTTGTTAGCAATAAAAAAAAACAGCATTACTCAAAGTTATTTTAATAAATCAAATTATAGCTTATTCAGAGCCAAATTTTAAAATATGAATTTTCTTCAATTATTATTATAACATTTATAAAACAAGTTATAAATGCTGCAGTTAGATTTAAATACAAGATCAATATTTTAAAATAAAATTTGTTTGTTTTTTCCCTGTCTTACCTTTTATGTGGTTTTTCATCTATGTTGTCAGCCACAAATGTTTTAAGCTCATAATCAACACCACAAGGCTGTAAATAAATCACTTGTATGATAACAAATAAACTTAAAAAAAATATGTATAAAAATCATGTATAATATATCCATCTTGCTGAATGGTAAAAATTAAAGGAATTCTATTAGAAATGATAAGCTTTGCCAAATAGGTATGTCAAGTGGCCATAAAAAAACAGTTTTCGCCCGCACGCTCAGATGTAGTAGCTTTTCACTTTGTAGATTCTATAATAAAAAGGGCTCATATAGTAATAAGCTTGGTACCGTTAAAAAGTAAATTTTAAGCAGTTTAATTCTGCGTAATTTTTACCAATACATGTAAAATGTGCAGAATTGAATAGACTTTAGTAGGATAATAAACAAAAAAAAAAGATGAAATATTTTAAATGTTAAAAAACAAAGCAATTTGAAAATTAGTATGTGATTCTGACATTGTACAATTTTTTTTTATTAGCATTTTCAGAAAGGTGGTCCTTTTTCCTGTTAAAACACTGAAATTGTTTATCATTTCTGAGCATGGTAAAAAAAGACCGAGTTTGACAAAAAAAATACTATAGCGATCACTAGAATCACTCATGGCCCGGTCGAAGAAAATGGCAGTTTTCTTCGTTAACAACACACCACCAAGTTTTCTAAATTGATGTTAACAAGTTTTAGTGGCTTAATAGTTCAGTAAAAAAACCATAAAAACATATAGCTACTTGATAAACAAGTTTGTCAGTCTAGTTTTTATAGTTTATTTCTTCAGTAAAAGTTTATTATTAAAGCTATAACTCAGTTCAATGATTTGACTTCCATGTAATTTGTCAGCTTCGTCAGATGAATTAAACCCCGTGTCACATTATAGTGGAGTCTAATTTTTTTTTGAGTATTTAGTTCAAATATTTTTTTCTTTTTTGAAAAATAATTACAACATATTTCCTTATCTTTTTAGAATTGCATATTTTTATATGTTAAATGTAAAAGATCACATGACCGTACGTTTCGTCACCAGTGTCAACAATAAATGGGTATAGTTTAAAGTAGAAAACCCCCACCAAGTTCATGGATGGTTTGGGTTTAAGATTTTATTTTAAACTAAATAGTACATGATGTGTAATACATTTAAGAAGATATCTGGGAAGTACAGTAAGACAGAGAGGCTAGTGAAGACCAAAGATGGAAAGACAATACCTGATGTGGAAGGACAGAGGAAGAGATGGGCAGAACATTTTCAAGAACTACTGAATATACCAACACCAGAGTGCACGCAAGATATACCACCAACTGAAAGTGATCTCCCTATAGACTGCAACCCACCTTCAAAAGAAGAGATATATAAAGCTATAAAGCAGTTGAAAAATTGGAAGGCTCCAGGAATAGATGGTATACCGGCAGAAGCACTGACAGCAGATATAGAAACTAGCACCACACTACTACACACACTCTTCAAGAAAATCTGGGAAGATGAACAAATACCAGAGTAGTGGAAGGAGGGACTACTCACCTTCCAAAGAAAGGCGATCTTAGTGCATGCTCTAACTATAGAGGGATAACACTTTTGTCCATCCTAGGCAAAGTCTTCAACAGAATATTATTAAACAGAATGAAGGAAGCGATAGACCCCCAGCTTTGAGATCAACAGGCGGGCTTTAGGGAGGAAAGGTCATGCGTAGACCAAATTGCTACCCTGCGCATCATCATTGAACACACCCAAGAGTGGAACTCATCTCTCTATATAATTTTCATAGATTACGAGAAGGTCTTTGATAGCCTGGATAGACAGTCAATGTGGAAATTGTATCTTGGAAGTATTGTTGATAAGCAGGGTGGGACAGAAGCAGTCATAAAAATAAGGATGCGCAAGGCAAGAGCAGTCTTCAACCACCTAAAAAATATTTGGAGTTATGGAGATTTAACCCTTGGAATAAAAATCCGGATCTTCAACACACTAGTAAAACCTGTTTTACTCTATGGAGCCGAGACATGGAGAATAACTGCTAAAATAAGAAGAAAATACAATCATTTATAAACGCATGCCTCAGAAAGATCCTGCGAATGCGCTGATCTAAAACCATCAGAAATGATGTTCTATGCCAACGGACAAATCAACTGCCAGTTGAAGTAGAGATCCTCCAGAGAGAATGGAAATGGATTGGCCACACACTCAGGAAGCCTGTATCAAGCATAACAAGACAGGCCCTCACCTGAAATCCACAGGGCAGGAGGAGGAGAGGTAGACCAAGAAAAGGAAGCTAACAGGATACTGGCAGGCAATCAAAAGAGTGCTCTACCCCTTAACCAAGTTGCTTTTTACAAGAGAAATACACATAAATAAATAATAATTTATATTTGAGTTTCAAACAAAAAATACCTTGCCAGTGTCTCCTGGAGCTGGTTGAAGTGTAACAGATGCAGGAGAGTTGGGAGGAAGCTAAAAAGAGGTGGAAATGTTTTTAAATAATACAAAATACATAAACAATAACTGAGGACAAAAAAAAAACAACGATAAAATTAGTCAAAAGTACAAAATACACTTTGAAAATAAAATATAAAAACATATTGTATACCAACATACCTCAAAGAAAAAAGGATAAGCATTTGGTCCAAGTTTCTTAATGAGTCTTTCTTGTAATCTAGTCAATGGTTTGGATTCCTTGGTATCTTTAAGGGGAGGATAAACCTTGAAATAAATTGAACAGTAATTTAGCTTTGTAAAGCATGATGATAATAAAACTGACAATGTTCAAATGTACATACATTTTAAAAGCTACAAAATACAATAAACATTAAAAGTCAAATTCTTTTATGGTTGTGTCTACTGTACCCATATTCACTACTTTGAGACTTATTTGCCAGTTGCCATGTGACTGTCCGAGAGAGTGCTTTGTTTAAAATAACACAAAGGTGGCCTCCCCTAGACTTTCTTGTATGTTATTTTGTAAAACAAAAGTATGTCAAAAACCAGCCCTTTTTTTTAATAACTCAAAGAAGTGAAAATTTCTTAGAATATGCTCTATGAGAACAAGATATAAAATTATGAAACTCTGAAGGTGTTTGAGAAATCAGAAGAAGAGCAAAATACCACATTTAGGGTTCATGCTCCAAAACGAAATACAAATTCCAGGAATTTTCCAGGAGATTTTTAAGTGTGTTAAATAAATTTCATGAGATTTTCAAGAGTTTTAAATAAATTCTAGGAGATTTTTAAAATTAAGAAATCTGTATTGTATGGCCACATTTACATTAAGTTGCTCATTTAGATGCTTATGTTAATCTGTTATTTTTTTTATTTTTTTCTGCAAATAAAGCAGTCTTATGCCATTATTGTACTAATTCATAGTTTAATGTGGCTAATATCTTAAATAAAAGAAGTTTCTGTTACTCTAAAATAACAATGAAATTCTTTTCTAATTACAATTTAAAGTTTCCCTTATCTGCAGTTAATTTAATAGATTTTACAATATAATAAAAAAGGGAATTTTTTTTCAAAATTTAACCTAAGTAAATGCAATGATCTAGATCAGGGGTCTCCAAACTACGGCTCGCGGGCCAGATGCGGCCCGCGAGGTCCTCTCATCCGGCCTGCGTAGATATTTTTGTCCACGGAGAAAACGTTTGTTGGTGCTGGCTGAAGATCTTTGCCCAGAAAAATCAAAGACATGCCTGGAAGAAACTGGCCCCTGAGCTGAAATTTGATAGTTAATGCGGCCCTCGGACTGAAAAGTTTGGAGATCCCTGATCTAGATGCCCACTTTGTTATCAATGTAATGATAATATCTAAGATTCTTAAAGTTGGACATGGTATCAATCATTTTTTAACACTAAGCCTGAAAGTATTAGTTCATGTGAGGTAAAATGTTATAGACTTAGACCAGATTAGCTTAAATTAGAAAGAGTCTACTATTCATTTAAAACAGTGTTTTGGAATTAACACTTGAAAAAATATTTGAACCAAAAATAACCATCCTGATAATAACCAAGCCACATCGTTATTTATGCTTTTAGCTTAATAGTAGTAATAGACTGCTGTTACAATTTGTCAAGGTACCTTATCTTCCCCCCCCCCCCCCCCCACTAAACAAGAAAGGTAGAAAGGTTACATTGAGTTCATTTGAGGTCAGAATATAATAGGCCTAGAGTGCACGTCACAGCAGGAACAGCACTGCTATTTGAGATTGACCGTGATTTCATTTTTATTTTTTCCTAAAACAAGCTGTATCAAACACAAACTAGGCTCTGCTGATGTATTCTCCTTCAAAGAATGGTGACATTTTATAATAGATAAGATCTACTATTTAACAATTGTTTTCAAAAATATTTAACCGAAAACATCAGTGGAAAATTTGGACTGAAAATGTGCAAAAATTTGGAATTCACATCCTTAATAAAATGCGAGTTACTTTTATCTAGTAAAAGGGCTATATACATGTGCACTCTCTAACACCCAAAGTACGTTTCGAAATTACTTGGTTAGGGGGAAATATAATTATAAAGGGATGTCACCAACAATCACAAATAGCAATTGTTCATGCTATGAAATATGCTCTAGGCCTGCTGATATATATGAACTCACAGTGAACCCTCCAAGAAAGAGGGAGCGGCGATCACGCTGGTGACGATGTTTGGAATTTGCATATTTCTTGATACATTTTTTTTAAACTTTCATTTAGATCTAGAAAACAATTTTTTAAATAATATATGTATCGCTTTTGCTCTACCATCATTGAGATCTAAATCTTGATCTAAGTACAATTTGCAGATCGACTGAACTAAAACCAAAATTGTTTTAGGATTTTCACTGTTCACAAAATTTCAAGAGATTTTTTAAAAATTCAAGAGAATTCCATGAGATTTTTAAAATTTTATGAGAATTTCAGGACCTTCTGTAATTTTAGGAAGACACTATTATAACTTTAAATAAAACTAAATCGCATAGAAAAAAGAATTGTGGACTATAAAAGTTATCAAATTTAAATGGCTAAAATAATCAAAATAATAAGATCATATACCCATGTATACCTATGACTGAATTTTTTAACTCAAGTAACTGGTATTTTAGAAACAAGAAATAGGGTAAAGTACCACTTCCGATTAATAGAGTTCACTCAAAAATTGAAAGTAATCCAAGTATAAGATCTTATACATATGTTTAAAAAAAATTTCATTTACCTGACTAATGATCTGATACTTATGTGTAAAAAATATCATCTACTTAACTTAAAATAGTTTAATGGAAATAGAGTACCACTTCCGGTTATCAGAAATCATTCCAAAGTTGAATGAATCCTAAACATACAATGTAACATTCATATGTAAAATATTGTTCACCCTAAATCAGATTTTGAGAAACCAAATGTAGAGTAAGTAGTAATTCTGGTTAACAGAAATCACTAAAAAGTTGAAGGATATCTAAAAATTTGGTTAAATACTTTTGTGTGAAATTTTGTTAACATAAGGGGTCATCCATTTAGGACGTCCGAACAGGGGGGTGGTCTGAAAAAAATTGACTTTTACGGACGCGTTTGGACTTTTAAGAGAATATTAAGTGGATATTTGTAAATGGGGGGGGGGGGGGGTCGTCCAAAATCCCAAAAAATTTGTGGACGTCATAAATGGATGACCCCTAATAATAACAAGACACTCAGGTTTATTAAAAAGCTATTGAAATATGTATTTATTTGTTATGATTTTAAAAAAAATTAACTTTGCATATTTAAAATTCAGACAGCTCAATATTTCTTTTATGTTTAGGATAGGGTGGATATTTACTTGTACTCTGTTAATGTCAATACATTTCTTGATTGTGGGATTGCTATTTGGCCAGTAAATTCTCCTTCATCCATTCATTGATCTAATCTTTTATTTGCCTTGCTTTAAATTAAATGTTCGAAGTAGGTTTTGTCAGCACATTGCATAAACCTGAACACACAATTTTGGGAAGGTGTTGTCAGTTCAAGCTCTTTGTTTTGTCAGACAGGTGCCAATACATGATTAATTCTTAAGTTCTTTAGTAGATTTAGCATTCTTGATCAAAAACTTAAGTTTAAATTTAGCTTAATTAATTACTATGGAAATTAAAAAAAAAAACTTATACATCTTTCGTTACTGATATTTCCTATAGCCATAGTTTTTATTTTCTTAAAATGAACCTCAAATGACAGGGGGTGGGGGTGAAGAGTTATGTCAAGGGGACTTAGTACAGCTAATTTGAACCTCATGATTTAGTCTGAAAGTGTGTTCATTATACCTTAGTTTGGTTTAAAAATACATTTCAGTCTTTAGGTAGCTTGTGTAAGTGTGTAATATAAACGGAACATTGTACATTCATTTTCTGTATTATAATGTTACAAATTCATCATAAATACTTTAAAATTTATGTTCTGAGTTTAGTTATATATTCATGTTATTGAGTTTAACAAACGTTTGAGACAACCAACCTGCATTGATGAAAGATATAGGTCCTTTCTAAAAGTAAGTCCAAGAACATCCAAATCTTCACGTCCATAGCGGAAGGCAGCCAAAATATGTGCAAATACCTTTCTATCTTTCAGATACTCAGGATCAACTAATATAACACCATCTAGAACATAGTTATACATAATGTAATAAATACTTTAATTTTGCCCAATTCTAACTACTGCCACTTCCCTGTAAGCCTCACAGTTTTTACTTTGTCAAACTAATACTTATAAAATAAGATTCATAATCTACTATAGAGCACTACTTCCCTCAATTGCCTACCAGTGGCAGAACTAGAAAAAAAGGGCCACCCCGCAAAATAAAATTCTGGGCCCCCCATATATATATATATATATATATATATATATATGTATATATGTATATATGTATATATATATATGTATGTATATACAAACACAGAATACAAACATTGGATAATCATTTCTGGCCTGATCGGGTTTTGAAAAGAAAATGTCTTGTTTATTTAAATTTAAACAAATTACATGTCATGTGTGAAATGCATTAGTATGTTTTGAATTATTTTTTTTTAAGATTTAGAACTAATTTATTCAATGTTTTTTGTAATATTGTCAACCCTCGAGTTTTAGCTGGTCAAAAGAATATAAAACGTGAAAGCTTTGTATGTGTAATGGTTTCTCGTGCTGTTTATTTTTTTGGTTTTTTGTATTTATATTATTTGTTTTAAATATATTTCCTTTTTATGCTATGTCATTCTTTGGTATGTATTTTTTTTAAAAACAATAATTAAGAGAATTAATTGCTTTTTAATTTGTTTAGTACACATATATTAAAAGGAGCTTATCAACACCCCTATTTAACTATTTAAAAAAGGGAAATAAGTCTTGGAAGTGTTTTGAACGTTAATTTATCTTTCACACTACAGATCAGGCTTAATTTGTCTACGCAACAGTATGTGTTAGCTACTGTATAACATCACTACTGTAGTAGATCTGTTTGTTATTTACAAAAGCTTTTACCGTATTGTCAAAAATGCAAGAATATTATTTTTTTAACTATAAAAAAATTATTATGGTCGGATATGGGCCCCTAAATGGCGTGCCCCCCACCCCCCCTGGGGGGTCTGGCGGAACTGTTGCCTACCCACCCTCCCAACACTTTTAGTAAATGAACAGTTGGAGATAAAACTATGACAGTAAAAAAACTAGATTATGATATATCGTCTTTAACACTCAGAATTCTTAACCAACAAAAAATTACCATAAATACATTAATAAGTAAGTTTTTCAAAAAGTATAATTACCAATAGGATCAATATGAGACAAATGATCAATAAAATCTCTCTTTCCCAAATAAGTTGTTATCTGAAGTAAAAGAACAAAGTCAAAATGATAAAGATTTCTTTATCCCCTAAATAACCTGCTTCACTTTATGTCTTTAACTTTGAACTGTTACATAAAAAGGTTTTAGTTACATTATTTTTTGACAGTACAACAGGATAAAATACATCTAAAACATTATTTCAAAGGCCAGTAATGTTAATGGCCTTAAGTGAAAACACAATTTCTAATAATAAATTTCTAAATAATAAATTATCAATGAAAATCAATTAAAACACAAATTAAACTTTTTGTGAATATTATAAATGGATGATCACTTAAATAATCAAATTGTAAGCATTAAGTAATTTTGAAATTGGATTAATGCAAAAGAGCAAACTAAGATGCAGGAATCAAACTGGCATTATTTAATTTTTTAAACTTCTTACTTTGCCATTGGGACTGCTTTTCTTAAAAACCCTGAAAAAAAAAGAAAAAAAAAACACTTCTTTTAGTTGTTTTATTTAGATAGATGTGTATTTTATAAAACAATATATTTTGATCTGATAAATTCATTCATTACAGACAGAACCTGATCTGTTTTTGACATTGACATGAAATGTAGGTACTCTGTTTTGTTGTGTACGTCTTTTTAGAACATTCAGAGTTATTTAATTACTGGATGGTGGTTAGCTTGTCACCTCTCCTGGGACATAGGCAGCTGACAACAGCTTTCTTAGCATCTCTGTCCTGGGCTTATTAGCTTTATCATAATTATTTAATATTTGATGATTAAGTTCATGTTGGTATTAATTTGTTCTGTCAACATGTGTGAATGATATGCAAAACATCATAATGTAATTGGCTCTTACTAAGACATTACGAAACATGGGCATAAGGTGAGGAATATGCCAAATATTTTTGTTATCAGAAATATCAGAATGGAAAAATTATATTAAGTAATCTAGTGTGCCTGTCCCCGCTCGTTGCCACTGTCTCAGAAGAATGTCTCATGGCTAGCCACAAAATAACCTGAGGGGTGCGGGAAAATGCGCCTGATTCCATTCAATGAATGACTATTATATTACATCTTATCCATTTCCTATAGCACTTTTTAAAACGTATGTGCCATAGAGCCCAAGGAATAGCCCTACCGGGGTGCCGGCGAACACGCCTGAATTAATTTAGAAAATTACTAAAACCCACAGTATATCGCGCTATTTAAAATGAACGTAGGCGCCATAGTGCTCACAGAATAACTGGGGCGCCAAATCACATCCTGCAGACAGAGGTGCCGCAGTCAGAATTTTTTTCTTCACAGAAACCTCGCCAGGATTATTCTCAAAAACTTCCCAAAGTTTCATGCCGATCCGGTGAAAGGTGCAGTAATGCATAAAAGACAAACAGACAAACATTGCTTTTTATATATACAGAAGATTATGCCCTGATTAATTTTTTTAAAGTAAATAGAACTGACCAACATTTTAATTCCTAAGCTTAACAGCAGATAAATCATCACTATATTGACGGAACCAAATCAAATCAAGTTTATTCATCGCCCATTTTCATTCTTTCGGAATACAATTTTTTTAATTAATAAAATCACAGAATGTAGAACACTGATTGCATAAAGGATATCTATGCACATTTTTTTTTACTAACGTGTTTTAATAAAAAAAAAGCATAAATATCCCACTTGACTGATGTTAAATTTAAATTGTTGCCACTTTATTCCTTACGGTTAAAAATATATGTAGAGTTTTGCCCTCAAACCCTCCATACTAATTACATAAATGTATCTACCTTGTTTGTCCAGAAGAGGATAAAGAGTTTTTCCCTATCTTGTTAGCTTTTTTCTCTGGCATTCTCCAACAGTTATATTGAAGGTAAGTAATAAAAGAATAAATATTTTTTTTCAATCTAACTTATACAAATCTTTGCATCAAAGGAAAAAAGATCTCACTTAAACACCAAAACATGAATAAAATTCACAAGAACAGTAACTGAAACAAATAAAATTCTTCACTCTTATGTTCTATTCACAACTAATACACTCTTGTCTGGGTTTCATGTGTTGTCACAAGTAATCTTATTAATGAAATGACATGACAGAACAAGAGCAGACTACACGCACAGAGTAAGTCCCATCATAGGAAATAATTACATCAGACAATTTAATTACATTGTTATACATTAGCCAATTGGAAACACAAGCTATGGGGATCACAATAATGATATATCTAAAGTTTGCTGTTTTCATTAACTATTTCCCAGCTGATAGTAAAATCCTATTTAAATGATAGTTGAGTATGTAATGCTTAAAGGCTTTAATACAGAGAATTTAAATTTAATGATGTTTTTTTAGAGATATTGACAACACTATAAATAGTTGATAAAATGTGATATAATTTTCTTAAGCAAATAATTTATTGATTCTGTCACATTTTTTCTCCTCTACAAATAGTATTGCAAAGCATTAAATCACCTACAAATGATTTTATAAAAGAAAGTAGATTATTTTATTTTCTTATTTAATTTTCAGTGCATTTTAAAGCTTGTTGCTACAAAATTTTATTATATATGTTTTTACTTTCTCGTATATACGAAGTATAGAGAAAGTCTTGTAATCGTGCAAAAAAAAAAATCTAGATTTGTAAAAATCTCGACGTTTTACACCTCACTGATACGGAAAAACATAATTTTGCAATCTTGTCCGTATGTCTGTGTGTGTGTGTGTGTCTGTCTGTCTGTGTGTAAACACGATAGCTTGAGTACGGTTACAGCTAGGTCGATGAAATTTCATATATAAGTATTTTATCAAAATCGTAGATCCGTATCAACTTTTGAGCGATTTCCGATAACCGGAAGTAGTACTTTTTCTACTTTGAATTTTTAAAAAGCCTATAACTTGAGTACTATTTCAGATAGATAAATGAAATTTCACATGTAAGTAAAAGATCTAATTCTCTACCTTCTATCAAATTTTGAGTAATTTCCTTTGACGGGAAGTACTAATTTCCGCTATTTCCGATTTCTCAAAAAACTCATGTAAATTCAAAAAGTACTAATAATATTGCGCACTATTTTGTACATTTTTGTTTTGGCGTTCGCTTGGTGCGCAATTCTTTTTTCTACGAGATTCTATTCTATTTTTAAAAGTAAGTAATTAAAAATCATGTCTATATTCCGAGTTATATAAGAATATTCGAGAAAGTTTATGACAGTTTACAGACAACAGCCAGCTGATCAAGTGAAGGATAGTTCTCAGGGATGTAAGCAGACCATGAAATAAAATAGGTCATCTTTTTCAGACAAAAACTCAATGTTTGATCTATTTTTTTTTTCGCAGTTAAGGCAGTCTCACGCTGTTACTGTTCTAATTAATTGTTTAATATAGCTAATATTTTAAATAAAAGAAGTTTATGTTAATCTAAAATTTAATGTTTCCCTTATAAAACACTTATAAAATTAATTTTTTTAAATGTAACTAAAGCAGCAATTGAGTTCTATTATAACTAAGCTAATATACACTATACTGTACTCTTGTTTTCAAATTTAATTCCTTATTACATAAGTTATATTATTTTTTTATCGCAGTTTAATTGTTTAATATTGCTAATATTTTAAAATAAAAGAAGTTTATGTTACTCTAAAATAGCACTGAAAGTCTTGTCTAATTGCAATTTAATGTTTACCAAATAAACAACTTTTTAAAAAAATTAAATTTTATAATGTAACAGGTGGTAATTAAGTTTTACTTAACCATTAAGCTAATTTAAACTGTAATGATCTAGTTGTACTCTTGATTTCAATTTTAAATTAAGTTATATTCTTTTAAAGATGGTCATGGTAAAAATGTAAGTCTTCAGCTGTAAAGAGTCTTGATTTCTATTAATTGTAATTTGTAAGTTTTAGTTCCTGTTATGGAAAATGGAACTGACCAGATTTGGTGAAATCAGAAAGGATCTCTGATCTGATATTTATGTCAAAAAAATATTTTGGAATTAATACTTGTAAAAACATTTGACTAAAATTTACCTCATCGTTATTTATGCTTTTGGAAAGGTTGTAGATTGTTAGGGGTTATCTATAAATGACATGGGCCTTTTTTGACGATTTTAAACTCCCCACTCCCCTCTGTCACAGAAAACCATACTCCACCCTTTAGTGATATCACACCTCAGTCAACAACCTTGCCCCCCCCCCCCCCCCAAAAAAATTGCATTTGAATTTTTTTTAAACGTTATTTTTTCTAAAATATTGACTGAGCTGGACCAATAGGGTATTTTAATCAATTTCTATTTAAGTTTATTTAAAAAGTTTTCTAAAATATGGCTAAAATTCAGTTTCTAACATTTCTTTTTTAAAATACAAAAGTATGACGTCATATGAACTGAGCCCACCCCCTCCCCCCCCCCCCCCCCCCCCCGTCACAAAATTAGGATCCCCTTACAAGTAGGCTATGACTTCATTTATAGAAGACCCCTTATTAAAAACATTTCCTATCGTATTTTTTCTTCTACAAACAAGACACGGTCTGGGTCACGTAGAGTTCACTTTAGTTGTGAGATCAGTAGTAGCACAAGTCATAGCTATAGAAATTGAATGTGACGTCGTTTTATTTTTCCCCAAACAGTTTGAAACACGCACTTGGGGTCACGGTGAGGTAAGAAGAGCCACCGTTGCTACAAGGAGGGGCGGGTTAGTCTAGTCCTCATTGTAAATTTTTAAGGATTTCGATATCAATTTGAGGTTACGAAATAGAATTAGAAGCAGAGAAAAACTGTCGACTTTTGCGAGTTAAAATGACGGCAGATAAATTAGGCGCTAGACTTCCACACATACGAGATTGACTGTGAAGAAACCAGTGTTAGGATATGTAAGTTTCATTTGAAGAGCGGCATTATTTTAGATTGCTTTGTGGTTTTTTATAAATATTTAACTAAAATATCAGCGTGAAATTAGGACTAAAAAAATGCGTACTGAAAAATTCGGAAATCAGCCGAAATTCTGAATCTTGACCTACAATTATCTTAACCTCGCACCATCAGACCTAGCGCAATCTACCAATTGAAAATAAATGTACGTTTTTTATTGTACGTTCGACCTAAGTACTGTAATATTCGACTTTAATAGGAATATGTGGAATGCACATGTGGGCTGAGACGGTAGGGGTAATTTCCTGGTTTTTAAAACTTCGTAAAAACCGAAAATCGGCAGGTTAATTCGGATAAAATGAAATCCGCGGAGGAAAACTGCAGCTGAAACTGAAACGTCGGATTTCCGCTAAAAATCGGAAATGTCACATCACTGTTAGTTCTTAATCTTGCTACCTCCCATTGGTTTGAAATCGTTAGAAAAACAATCCATCTGCTGCTAATTGTCTTCACTATCTCGACCTGCCTGTGAAATTGTAAACATTTGGTATGAACCACATCCCAGAGTCTAGCTAGTTATCTCCCCTTCTGCCGATAAATACCGTAATCTATCAAATGATTGTTATCATTTGATCTTGTTACGTCCCATTAGTTTCAAAACCGTTCAATTAATGTTAATGACTAATTCAACTTCTAATTAAGTTAAATATAGATATTCAATATTCATGCATTGCCCTCAAAGATAAGGTACATGGAAAGTGTGTACCGCTGGCCAGAAATTGGCCAGAAGTTGAGCTGCAAGATTTGCCGTAAACCCAGTAACGAACATTGCCAACTAAGTAAAAGCTTGTAAAAACAGCAGCCATCTCAAAATATTATTTAGCGTAGCTTTTCTTTCATTTTTACCGGTATGGAAATTTTTTTGTTTTTTACATACGATTGTCTTGTCTTGTCTTTTTTTTTTTTTTAAATATTTTTTTTAAATTCTGCCCTTTAAAAAATGTAATTGACCAACTATCAACACCATAGTTCTAGAATTTTTGCATGATGCAACATTTTGAAAATCCAGTTTTTTTGTAATAGTTTGTTTAAACATTACTACCCAGTTTAAATGTATTCATATTGTTCGAATGTTTGCTATTTTCATTTCAGGCTTTAAGTGTTATTTTCTTTAATTAGTGATTTAACCACAGTGATGTTAGTTTTTGTTTTTACTTCTCTTCACCTTAATTAAGCCTCCACCTGCATCATATTTTCGCTGTCACGGAAAGTCATAATGTAATAAATTAGTTTCGCTCTGCCTAGTAAGATTTCTAGATCTAGTTATATTTCTGATGAAAATAAATGTTTTTTCATCATTTGTATGTATAGATCTAGAGAGGCGAAAACAATTACCCTCCACTTCCATCATGTAATAACATCGTCTCCAAAAATCATCCATTCTATCACTTAGGTAGTGATGTCGTTATTATGGTCGATCCCCTTGTCTCCACCTTTCAGTCATATTGTGGTCATTAAAATGTCGGTACCAAACACCGAAATGAGTAATATAGGGTTGTCCGTAAATGATGTCACACAAAATATGCTACGGGAGGGAATGAAAGTTTATGACGTCAACTAAGGTGGGTCTGCTAAAATGCAGATATTTTTATTGTCCTATGTAAACACATTCTAGAACTTTTGTAGCTAGTTGCACAAGTAAATAAAATATGACGTCACGGGCTCTAAACCTTGCGTGAACAAAAAAATCTAATTCAAATTCAAATAGATCTAGGCCCGGTCGAAGAAAATGGCCGTTTTCTTAGTTAACAACGCACCACCAAGCTTTTCTAAATTGATGTAAGCAAGTTTTAGAGGCTTGGTAGTTCACTCAAATAAATAAAAACATGTAGCTACTTAATAAACAAGTTTGTGAGTCTAGTTTTTATAGTTTATTTCTTTACTATATGTTTATTATTAAAGCTATAACGCCGTTCAATGATTAGACTTCTACGTAATTTTTCAGCTTCGTCCGATTAGCTAAACCCCACTTCACTTTGTATCGGAGTCTAATTTTTTTATGATTGCTTAGTTCAGATATTTTTGTCTTTTCTGGCAGAGGGTACTTTGAAAATTAATTGCAACATATTTTCTTATCTTTTTAGAATAGCTGAATATTCTTTTCCGTTAAATGTAAAAGGTCACATGATCGTACACTTCGTCGCCAGTGTCAGCAATATATGGGTATAGTTTAAAGTAGAAAACTCAG